AGAGTTTGTAGAAGAGAGTGAGACGATTGTGGGTGCGAGAGAAGTATGTTATGCTCTGTATTTATAGGCAAAAAAATTTCATAGAGTAAGTGAGGTGGTAGCTGGTGCATGCATGCATGATAAGTGTCACTCTTGCAGTGTAGGCGCAGGCTAGGTGGCAGCCTTGGAGAAGGCATCTCTGCATGCATGTAACACGATTGGACGTGAAGGGAGGCACCATTGGACTTGGCGAAAGAGTACAAAAATGAAAGGTGTCTCCATCCCCATTGGCGAATAAGAGGTGGCATGGGTTACAGAGTAGGCGCAGGCTAGGTGACAGCCTTGGAGAAGGCATGCCTGAATGCATGTAACACTATTGGAGGTGATGGGAGGAGACTTACAAGTTACAGTGTAGGTGCAGAGTAGGCGCAGGCTAGGTGGCAGCCTTGGAGAAGGCATCCCTGGATGCATGTAACACTATTGGACGTGAAGGGAGGCGCCATTGGACTTGGCGAAAGAGTACAAAAATGAAAGGTGTCGCCATCCCCATTGGCGAATAAGAGGTGGCATGGGTTACAAAGTAGACACAGGCTAGGTGACAGCCTTGGAGAAGGCATGCCTGAATGCATGTAACACTATTAGAGGTGATGGGAGGAGACTTACAGGTTACAGTGTAGGTGCAGAGTAGGCGCAGGCTAGGTGGCAGCCTTGGAGAAGGCATCCCTGAATGCATGTAACACTATTGAACGTGAAGGGAGGCGCCATTGGACTTGGCGAAAGAGTACAAAAATGAAAGGTGTCGCCATCCCCATTGGCGAATAAGAGGTGTCATGGTTTGCAGAGTAGGCGCAGGCTAGGTGACAGCCTTGGTCACACTATTGGACGTGATGGGAGGAGCCTTAGAGGTTACAGCCTTAGTTAATTCAAATTCAGTATGACCTATTTAGTCTTACATTTATCAAAACACTGATTCACTTAATCTCTCAAACCTTCCAACCTTCAAACCTTCAAACAATCAAACCTTCAAACCTTCAAACAATCAAACCTTAAAACCTTCGAATAACTCATAAACTTCAAACCTTCCAACCTTCAAACCTTCAAACCTTCAAACAATCATACGCAGTGGCCTCTGCACCCCAATATGTCATCAGTGCACATTTCAACGGTGAGACATACATTTGTCCCACCTCTGGGTTTTTGTTTAGAGACACAGACAACATCTGATTTCATTTAAACGGGAAAGCCAATTTCTTGTACTTCAAAAAACAATTGGAGGCCAAACATGGACGAGGCCCGGTGACACAAATATTTTATCAGAATCCAGTTTTTTTTGGTAACAACCAAATAATATTTTATAAGGTTGAGGTTCAAGATGACGAGGATCTTCAGAATATGTTTTCCAGTCATGTGTATTCCGGGTACGACTCTATTAAGTTGTACATTATGTTGTGAGAGCCTCAGGTGACACAAGTGGTTGATCCTTTGGAGACCGAACAAGCAGAGGTAGATGCAGTTGATGAAGAAGAAGATGACGAGTTAGAGTTTGACGAAATGGTGAATGATGATTCCGAAGATGATGGGATACCTGGTATTCTTGTAAACGAGATTTACACACCACCTCTGCACATGACAAACTTCAACATGGGCGGAGATGAACCTTCTTCTGATTTATTTTTCAATATGTATATGCAATCAGATGAAAACTTAAAAGAGAAAGACAAGTTTCGTAACAGAGAAGAATGTATCAGAGCCATGAAAAAATTCCACATGCTTAACTCGGTCGATTTTAAGGTGGACCGTGTAAACCCAGAAAGGTACAAGATCAAGTGTGTCCACCCTGATTGTATGTTCAAGCTCACTGCATCATACAGATTAAGAGGTGATTGTTGGGTCATAGGTTCCATGTCTACCCACACCTGTGTCAGTTCTACTCAATCACAGGACCATCGAAAACTTAATTACGATCTCATTTGTCAAGAAATCCTACCACTCGTCAGCAACGATCCATCTTTGAAGGTGAAAACCATCATCTCCCACATCACTATGGTTTTTAACTATACTCCGTCTTACCGTAAGGCGTGGTTAGCAAAGACCAAGGCGATTGAAAAGGTGTACGGAAACTGGGAGGAGTCATACCAAGAACTTCCTCGCTACCTTAATGCACTTCAGACTTATTCTCTGGGTACTGTTTACATTCTGGATACAGTGCCAGCATACGCCCAAGATGGTAGTCAACTAAACGAAAATGGAATATTCAATCGAGTGTTTTGGGCATTTCAACCTTGCATCACAAGGCTTGCATCATGTAAACCAATTATACAAATTGATGGAACTTGGTTGTATGGGAAATACAAAGGCACGCTACTGATGGCAGTTGCACAAGATGGCAACAACAACATTTTCCCAATTGCCTTTGCCCTAGTCGAGGGGGAGACCGGTGGTGCTTGGAGCTTTTTTCTGAAAAACCTGCGAACACACGTGGCTCCTCAACCAGATCTCTGTTTGATCTCGGATAGACATGCATCTATTGAAAGTGCATATAATAATCCTGTAAACGGTTGGCATGACCCTCCTTATTTAGACATATCGTCCAAAATTTCACGAGGGAGATCAAGGACAAAACACTAAGGAAAGCGGTTATGAATGCGGGATATGCATTGACACAACCCACATTCAAATATTACCGCAACGAGATCCGTTTGTCAAATCTGGAAGCCGGTAGGTGGATCGACAATATTCCAGTAGAAAAATGAACTAGGTCATACGACAATGGTCAAAGATGGGGGCACATGACAACAAATCTAATTGAATCGATGAATGGGGTATTCAAAGGCATACAAAACCTCCCTGTCACTGCTTTGGTAAAATCTATGTAATTTAGGATGGCTTCGTTGTTTGCCAAAAGAGGTGAAATGTGGAATGCGGTGTTGCAATCTGGACAACTATGGAGTGAAAGCTGCATGAAGTACATTAAGGCAGAAAGTGCCAAAGCCAACACCCATATGGTTATACGGTTTGACCGACACAACCACAACTTCATTGTGAAAGAGACAATCAACCACAACGAGGGCCTGCCAAGACAAGAATATAGGGTTGTACTACCTTCTCGTTGGTGCGATTGTGGCAAGTTTCAAGACTTTCGTATGCCTTGCTCTCATGTCATTTCCGCGTGTGCTTATATCCATCAAGACGCGCTACAACTTCTGTCACACATTTACAAATCTGAAACGTTGCTCAACATTTACAACAACAACTTCCCTTTGGTAGCAAAACCAGATTATTGGCCTGCATATGACGGTGAAATAATATGGCACAATGACCAAATGCGAAGGAACAAAAAGGGCCGTCCCAAAAGTAAGCACATCACAACCGAAATGGACTCCCTTGACAAGCTGGAAAGAAAGTGTGATTTATGCTGTCAGGTCGAACACAATCACAAAAATTGTCTGAATCGGGCGTCTGCCTCGACCACATAAAAATTGTATTATATAAAATATTTCCTTAATTATGTTGTAAACATTAGGGTTTTTCGTTAACAGTATTTGCTACAATAAACATTGCGCGTACAAGAAAAAAAACACGATATTTTGTCTACGAAATTACAACTGTTAAAACAATATCATCTAACCCATGCATCATCAACATTACGTCGCTGTCTGTTTTGACTTCCTCCAACCAAACATTAGGTCTTTCTGTCGCATGTGAGGTTGTTGTTCGTCTTCGCTGGATCCTTCGAATTTTTACCCCTCTACGATGTCTCCATCTAGCCATCGCAACAACTCCCACTTCAGACGCTCCATGGAGTGAATGTGCCAGAATTTTATTTTCATCGCAGGTTTTGTGGCAGAGAAGATAACGTAACCATCTCTGATAAAAATCATAGGCGATGTCATGACGCAAATAACAAAGTAAAAAATAAGAAAATAGTGCGAGAAAGTGTGAGAAATGACGGAGAAACTGACGAATTATTTATAAAAACAGCATTTTGCCCTAGGAGTCAAGTGAGATGGCGCCTCCTCTCGCTTTTAAAGTGCATGCGCCATCTCACTTGGCTAAAAGAGAGAGGAGGCGCCAAGTGAGATGGCGCCTAGGGCAAAAAGCTTGGTGGGGGCGCCAAGTGAGATGGCTCCTCCTTTGGAGAGCCATCTGAAACATGGTTATTTGCGTAATTTTTTCCGAAATGTGGTTATTTGCGAAAAAAATTTTTAATACCTGATTATTCAAAAAAAAAATTCACTAATTGCAGTCGAGATATAAATTTAGGTTCAATTAATTGTGAAAGTCCAATAACTTAACAAGTGATTAGTTTCATAATCATTTTAAAAAGACCAAATTTGTGAGGACACCACTTTTTATTTCAAATAAATAAAAGTTAAACGCACCATGTTTAAGTAAGTGCTTGGTTCTGTGTTAAGAATAAAAAAGTAGGTTTCAATTCAATGCCTTTTCCCGTGAATTTAGAAGCCAGAAATTCTAGCTTTAACTAAATGCGCGTATTTGGCATGTTCTACCATACAAACAACAAATGGTGAATTCATCTTGCAAAAATAGGTCTACGGATGAAAATTAACTTCCATGGAAACTAACTAAACAACATTTCCGGTGAATAATGTAATTGGAAGTTTTCTATTCTAAGCCCTTAAGCTTAGGGATAATAAAGGTTTAAAAGCCACATCATAAAAACCTACTGCTTTCTTTCATACTCATTCTAATTTCTTTCATTACTCGTACGTTTTCTCTTTATCTCCATTGTTATTAATTGATCTACATTAAACAATCACACACATATATGTCTAGTAAGTTATTGTAATAGTCTATGTTCTTGCATAAATACTACTGATCGAAGACGTGCTTAGAGACAAACGTGTTTGTGTCATACTTTATAGGTTATAGTTATGTAACACATGCATGCATGCATTGTCACTATTTTATGCAAGTGTGGATCATAATAAACATGGCATAGTCTCATGTTATAAATTTGTGTGTTGATGTGTGTCTTGTTTATGGCAGATAATTGCAAGATGTCGGCAACCAAAGACAAAGCTACAATGGAAAATAGCGACGATGAGGCTAACATTGAACCGGTGAAGGCTAACACCATTGATGAGCTCCATTCGCTACAAAGGAAGAAAAATGTTACTCCTAACAAATCTAAGAACGATTTAGATGATTATTCCGGACAAGAGCGTCACAAACAACAACTTGAATCTATCAGGTATGTATTTGTATGTCTATTACGTTATAATAAATTGTTACATGATCTAAGCATTTCATTTTCATTATATAACAAAAATTCATTTCTTAATTAATCACATCAACAAATGGAAACAAAGGGTGATCAACATCAACATTTTTTGCCATTTATTTTTAATAAAGCCTCAATGTATTAAACAAAATGTATCAAAAGGAAATTGAAGTGTTGTTTTTATCTCACAAACAAAACGTGTTTTAACAAGTTTAAAGTGTTTTTTTTTATTTATTTAAACATATATTATTATTGTTGTAAAAAAATTAACAATGGCCTGCCTGGCTTTCCTCCAAAATAGCCAAATGATTTGACCCAATCAAAACAAAATTATTTGGTAAAAGTTATCACATTTTCATGAAATTTTTGTTCTTATTTATAGGCGGTTTTAAATTTTAATATAATATTAATTATATATTTGTCAATAGTATTTCTTAATTATTTATTCTTAGAGAAATAAATTAATAAAATAAATTAATACATAATTAAATTAAAGTTTAATGACATGGATTCAAAGTAATTTTACATTACATCTAATAGAAAAACATATTGTTTAAGTGACTTTAAAATATTGTGGTAATTTAACACAATACATGTTGGTCATTGTAAAATAACTTTAGTTTTGTATATTCTATTTTCTCTTAAGTTTATTCTAAGAAAAATAGAAGTTATATAATACTAAAAATAAAAAATTACTGCATTAATTATATTGATTTGTGTAAATTGCAAAAAATAAAAAATGTAAAAACTAAAAAGTAATAAAGAGAGTATTAATATCCAGTTTTTCCCTATTCGAGAAATTAGTATATCAATTGCAGCCAAATATATATGACTTTTAGGAAAAGAAATATATTCCCTCTAGTTCTTAGTATAAGAAAAAATTTATTTTTAAGATTCATTAAAAAATCAATTTATTTAGATCACATATAATCTATAAAAAGTAAACTTTTTCTTATAACATTCAACATAAATCTTATGTTTGATATTTAAAAATATAATATACTGTGTTAAAAGTTAAAAACTAAAGTATTGATGAAACAGTGCATCTCTAGCATCACTGACAAGAGAAACTGGACCCAAGGTAGTGAGAGGAGATCCAGCTCTGAGAACACAAACACAGAGGGTTGCTCATGTGCCTCACCAACGTATCACACCAACTATTGCTGTCAGTGATAGTGCCCTCAAGTTCACTCATGTTCTCTATAATCTCTCCCCAGCAGGTTCTCTTTTATATATTATAATCTCTCAAGTTTTCAAAAAATAAAATGTACTAGTTGTGTATAATATCAAAACTATAACTTAATATGGAAGAATGGTGCAGAACTTTATGAGCAAGCCATAAAGTACGAGAAAGGATCGTTCGTAACTTCAACCGGAGCCTTGGCCACGCTTTCAGGGGCCAAGACTGGACGGTGTCCGAAAGATAAGCGTGTCGTGAAGGATGACCTCACTGAGAATGACCTTTGGTGGGGAAAGTAAGCATCTTTTCATTTTAAGGACTAGTTTGAAATTCGAAATTCTGTTAAGTGACTACTGCGAGCGTAATTTTATCTAAAACGATTATATTTTGAAGGGGTTCTCCGAACATTGAAATGGATGAGCACAGTTTCATGGTGAATCGAGAAAGAGCTGTTGATTACTTGAACTCTTTGGATAAGGTCACATTTCTTACTTATGGACTAAATATGTAACTAAGATTGAATACGAAAAATGGAGAGAATTCTAAGAGAATAATGTAATCGAGTTTGCAGGTTTTCGTGAATGATCAATTCTTGAACTGGGATCTAGAGAACAGAATCAAAGTCAGGATTGTTTCTGCTAGAGCTTATCATTCACTTTTTATGCATAACATGTAAGTTATAACTTTGCTATTTGCACGCTCGCAATGTAACTGCAAATGTGGACTGAAATTTAACCGAATGTGTGTATTGGCAGGTGCATTCGACCGACTCCTGAAGAGCTTGAGAATTTTGGAACACCGGATTTCACTATCTATAATGCAGGACAGTTTCCGTGTAATCGTTATACACATTACATGACATCTTCTACGAGCGTAGATATTAATCTTGCGAGGAAAGAAATGGTGATTCTTGGAACACAATATGCTGGTGAAATGAAAAAGGGTCTTTTTAGTCTCATGCATTATCTCATGCCGAAGCGCCAAATCCTCTCGCTACACTCCGGTTGCAATATGGGCAAAGATGGTGATGTTGCTCTCTTCTTCGGACTCTCAGGTATATATATACCTTATACAGACGCAATTGCAGTTGCAGACTACAATTTAAAACCAGATTTCAAATAAGGCTTGTCTGACACACAATACACACTAATAAATAACGGAAGTGTTATAATTATTTTTTTTAACCTTTTCTTTTTCATATCATCATCGATACTAGGTACCGGAAAAACCACTCTTTCGACGGATCACAACAGGTATTTAATCGGAGACGATGAACATTGTTGGAGTGAGGATGGTGTCTCAAACATTGAAGGGGGTTGCTATGCAAAGTGCATTGATCTCTCTAAGGAAAAAGAACCTGATATCTGGAATGCAATTAAGTTTGGTACAGGTATTAATGAGGCTAGTTTAATATCTATTTTCATCTTTAGTTACCTCTTACGAGATACGCGTTTTGATATGTTTTTTTATCACTCGCTTTATCAGTTGTGGAGAATGTTGTTTTTGACGATCATTTTCGAGTAGTTGATTATGAAGACAAATCAGTTACAGGTAACTAATAACTTTGTTTTTTAGTTGCTTTAGCTGCCAATGTTCTCTCCTGGTCAAGCCATGATAATGTAGTTGTTTTGTATTGAAGAAAATACTCGCGCGGCTTATCCAATTGAGTACATTCCAAATGTGAAGCTACCTTGTGTTGGTCCTCACCCGAAGAATGTGATACTATTAGCATGTGATGCATTTGGTGTGCTTCCACCAGTTAGTAAGCTAAGCTTATCACAGACAATGTATCATTTCATCAGTGGATATACAGCTTTGGTAATGTCTAATCACTCTCCTATATATATCTTAGTAATATCTATAAATCACCGACAAAAATACCAGATATGACACACTTGTACATAGACACATGTCAATGTCATTAAATGTTAGACATTGACACGTGTTAGATACTCTAACACGCCTTTTTCAACTTGAAGCGTTAGTGTTAAATAGGATAATTTTGTGTCTTTATGTTTCTCATTTATTGATTCTTATATGAATCATAACTGAAGGTGGCTGGGACAGAAGAGGGTATAAAAGAGCCGCAAGCAACGTTTTCAGCTTGTTTCGGTGCAGCATTTATAATGCTACATCCTACAAAATATGCAGCCATGCTTGCTGAAAAAATGCAAAACCATGGTGCTACTGGATGGCTTGTTAACACTGGTTGGTCTGGTGGAAGGTATGCTTTCAGCTATGAATGTGATTATTATTAAAATGTTAATATTTTTCTTTATATAGAATTTGGAGTTAACTTGGTTTATGGTTCTGTCAAAATGCAGCTATGGTTCTGGAAATCGCATTAAACTATCCTATACAAGAAAAATTATTGATGCTATTCACTCTGGAAGCCTCTTGAATGTCGAGTACAAGAAGACTGAGATTTTTGGACTGGAGATCCCTACTGAATTGGAGGGAGTCCCCTCAGAAATTCTCGACCCTGAGAACACGGTTAGTTTCCCTTGAACGCATGCTTCGAGCCTAACACTTTTCAAAATCTTTTAAGCATTGGATGATTTGTTATTTTGCAGTGGTCAGACAAAGCAGCATACAAAGAGACATTGTTGAAGCTGGCTAGATTGTTCAAGAAGAATTTTGAAACCTTCACTGACTATAAGATTGGTGAAGACAACAAATTGACAGAAGATATTCTTGCAGCTGGTCCAATCTTTTGAAGCAATCTTGTGTTCGGTTTCGCAGAGAAGACGACCAAGGCTTGCTATAAAATATACTTGGAAACAATGTGTTTTTAACCGATTTTAATTAACTTAGCTACAAACTAATTTATCCCCTTCATGCTATGCTTTTATTTCTGCATCTTCATTTGACTATTTCTAAGACAGTACAGAAACATATTTTCTTCAAATTAATTTGAGTTGAGAGGATTTTAACTCTATAGATCATACCTTTCATGTAAATAAATACTTGTACAATCTTTGTTATTAGAAAGATATATATAAATATTTTGTTACAATTAGATTTAGTATCATAATGTAATGAATATGACAACTCTTAGAGTCATTGTTTTAATAGAATTCTTTATAAATAGGACAAAAACTTTATCTAGCCTAGTGGTAACTGATTCTATACAATCAAAACAAAAGATTGTTCAACGAATATATTTCCATGCCTCTTGGACAAGTTCATCGTTTATGAAGGGATGCAAAGACCACATTAGGCAGTAGCTTTCCAGTTCTTCCGATGACACGTTCAGATCTAACGCAGAAACAATCCTTTCCTGTAACAAAAATAGAATATTTTAAGAGTTCTTCATTTGACTGACAGTAATGTTACAGACAAACCATTCATTACCTGCATCAAATAGTCTTGCCGGACCATACTGTATACGGCAACCATTAGGGTAGCTAAATGTGTGGAATCAGTATTTTTCTTAACTTTTGTAGTTGTAACATCAGTACTTCCAGAATGACAGAAAGCGGTATTTTCGTCCTGAGTAAGAATTTCATAATTTCAGTTATTATCAAATAGCATGTAAATGATGCACATATCTAGTAGATGTGTATAACTTCCCAACCAATTGCTATCAGTATGTAAAAAAGATAGAAATTGCATAAGAAATTAGTAGCATTACCAAATCATTATAGATCTCTTGCTCATTCATTTTTTCAAAATCAATATCCGTATCTGAAAGGGATGATAATTTTCCATGTATACTTTGCAGAACATTTCTTACATTAGCCTGTATATCTTCAAGTTCATCAAGTACTACCTTCACTGCAAAACGTAAACAATTAGTTAATTGTCAAACTAAAAGAAAGAACACAATATCAACAAGATGCTTATGACATAAGGTTTACACATAAAGAATATATACAACACAAAACTCACTAAAAAAGATGAACCTTAAACCTTATTCTTCTTATCCCACTTTAAGAAAGGGGGCTTGATTTTGTGTAAGAATCTTTATGTTAACGTAATGATAGCCAATTCGTCAAACACAACTTACGTATGAAACGAAATATTGAAAGAAAAAAAGAAGCATCCTCCAAGTTGGAGTTGCATATTCATAAATTAAGCTGACAGGTTGTTTGTTCCATGCACAAATATTAAATGTACGAGACTCACCAGTCCAGCTTCATAAATTAAGACTGAAGACAACATAAATAACGCCTCACCAGAAAATATGTATATAAACGCAATCCATAGCAGTAAAGTAAGTAATCAATCATAAACTTTTTTGGTTGAAAAAGACGCCATACCTTGTCTTATCTGGAGAAGAAGTCCATGTTTGCATGAGCCCACTTCCATATGCATATTTTGACATATTGTAATAATTAATACAGTCAGGGAAAAGAAATAGCAAAAAAAATCGAATAAGTATATTTCATGATGACATTACAAGTGTTTATATGGTTTGTCATGAGACATGATTCACAATTCAAGACAACACATTGCACATTTGTGCAAGTGTTGTAAGTCGTGGATAATAGCAATTTGTTCAAATCTCGCCATATTATAGCAATATAACAGGTGTTGGACAATACTCTACTTTGTACTGTATGTGTATCGTGGAACAATTGGGACTAGTTAAAATTCCACTATGCTATAACCACTATTTTACATCATTGGAATCCCTAAACTCGTAATGAAAAAAACGACCCTTCCTCTCAACTACAAACAAAATAGAGCCGTACTTACAATTGGTTGCATTCTGGTCAACATCTTTGCGGTTCTTACATTCGAAGTTGACATAGGACTTAAGTCTTTCAGTTTCATTAGCTTTAATGATACTGTTGACTAATTTAGAACTTGTATCTATAGGAGGCTTCCGAATAAACTCTGTAAGACAAAGTAAAAGTTAAGAGATAGCAATATTATTATCTTACAATGACTACATACATATGGTAAAAAAATATCTGAAGAATACCTAATGCTTGTTGAAAACCGGACAAAAGCTTGCTTCCAGCAGTTCCCAACTCATCAATCTTTGTAAACCTATAAAAGGGTAGCTGTTGAAAAATATGAAATTATACAGATATATTCTGGGAAAAAACAAGTACAAAATTATTCTGTTTTAGCAATAATTAAAAAAAAATCGCATACATAAGGATCGCCTCAAGTAATTTTACATCAAGATCTAATTATCTCATACCAAATGAAGCAGACAAAAACACTAACACCTGACACGACACCCCCACATAAACACGGATAATAATTTTGAGAAAAATGAAGTGATTGTTTGTGGTCATAAGTGTTGGTGTGAGACATCGACACGTAGCTGACACTCAAACATGTTTTAATCCGAAGTGTTGAGACTATTCTAGTTAGATGAGATTCATGAGAAACGACAAAACCCCCCTGAAACATGGAGTTTGCAATCTTACATTACAAGAAAAACTTTCAAGGAAATAGTCGATTTTGAAGTTATACAACAAAGACAAGCATATAACTTGTTTACTTGATAAGCATATAACTTATTTTGAAGGAAATATTCAGGAAACAATAAAATATAAATTAAAAAGTAAAATCGGAAAACATTTAGAAATTACCCTGTCATGAAATCTTTGAATTTGTTTAAAATTTCTTTCTCCAAGTCCAAAACTGACTTATCTTCCATGGTTTCCATTCTGCATTTATATGAAAAAATAGTAATAACAAAAAACAAACTTCTGTGCGAGAAGGGATATCTGCAAAGCACCATCATCTTGATCAAAAGATATAAAATGTTTTGAAAAACCTTAAAATTAAATAAAAAGAAAGTCCATGACATATTCAAAGCAACATTGACTGTGTGTCTTATTGCATTTGATTGAGCTCAATGTTTTAAATTGTTAGGAAATGTGGTTAGGTCTAACTCAACTCTACAAAACCGATTTGTAGGATGAGAATTGCCTTCACTTTTAAAGACATGTTCAAGCCATATATTGTCTGATGTGAGATTCTAAACCCACCCCCTCACGCCCAGGACTAGACACTAACTGGAGCATGAAAATAAATGGTGGATGGTCCAATAGCGTAAACCTGATAGCAGGTGGTCCACTAGATCTTAAACGAGACTCTGATACTATCTTAGAATGAGTGAGTTGGACCTAACTCATCCCTATAAAACCGGCTTGTAGGGTGAAGATTGTCCCCGCTTATAAACATATATTCAGGCCATATATTGTCCGGTACGAGACTTTAAACATAAATAAATAAAATAGTATACACAAAGTCCATAAACTATCCATAACAAATACATTAAATGGGATGAAACCGGTCCATAATGGAACAAGAGATGCACATCTCAATTGATAAGCTGATTTGAAAATGCACCAGCATAAGCGACTTAAAGCATACTAGTAATAACATTATGTGTTAGAACTTTGAATACTATGCCCTGTAGCCAAGATTAAAATCAGAGCAAAATAAACTGAATAAGAGAACAATAGTAACGTTACAGAGCAATTCTAACCACAGAAAATTAATATTCACAGCATTATCACTTTCAGCATAATAGAAATATTTATCATTTATATATGAAAATTGACAACTAAAAAAGTTGAATTGATTGAAGAAATCCACTGCAACACACATACACACAACACAATGGCATACATACACACACATTGGCAATGAAATAGTTAGTGGCGACCGCGGCAGTAGGGAGGGAGCAGCCGCTGGCCGCCACAGTGATGTTGCGGCTGCCTGAGATACACTTCACGGGAGCAACAGACGGCGCATGTAGCTGCCGTGGTGGAGTTTCACGGCCGCTAGAATGAAAAAATAAAGGAAGAAACATGCCTGTGGAATCCCAGTAGACGGAAGAGGGATGGTGAAGAAACAATTGAAAATCACAATTCACTACTTATTTGTGTAAATCTTCATATACTAAACCCCTAATTTTTTAAAGAGAACAAAATTGTTTTTTTAAATGCAATTAACTGTTATGCACATAAATTTTTTTATCGGGTCAATCCTTCACGACCAATTATAAATATTAAACATTTTTAATAGTTTTTATAAAAAAATTGACGTGTAAAAAATATATCGTTTTTTTTTTAAAAAACATCATGGATTACATAAGTTTTTCCAAAATGGTGAAAAGTTCGGCAGTATTAAAATATCAGATTTTTAAAAAAATTATATATTCATCAAATACTTAGTAAGACTATAAAATATCTAATAGTTTGAGCTTTCACTATTCTAATTTTATTGGACAATTTTATACATTTGTGATTGCACTAATAATTATGTGTGACTCACAATGAATATAAATTTGTATAAATAGGAATCATATATTGTTAAAAATATATATATTAGAATGTCTCAATATTCGTAATTTGATAGTTGTGTACTTCAATAGCGTAAAACCTCTTGTTGATTTTTGGCTCCCTAAGGACATCATTACTCTTGTTGTTTGAGATCCTAATTGGATAATCTGTGACCCCACACCGACAACAGAAATGTGACTAAGATCAAGTTTCGTGCATCACCGATTGATACTAAAGGAAATGTGAAATACAATAACTTTGAGCTGAAGACTGATGAAGATTTGAAGGTTGTGTGAAGAACATATCACTGCAAGCCAACAAAGGAAACTGAACCATCCACACAGTCCCAAGGGATAAGAACCTCCATTGCATGGTCTATAGTAGCACACCCTCATGTCCAGTTGACATGGTGAAGATTAGCAAACAAAGACATGTACCTGACATTGATATATACATGAAAATTATCCGCTAAGATAGTACTACATCCTACAAGATATAGCATGTATACCCCAGCAGCTACCTTATATATAAACTATTCCACTAGTGTCGTATACATATCCTAGAGCCAAGAGAGGCGAAATTGAACACCCATGTTAAACTTAAACTCATTCATCATCTTCATCTCAGTAACCCTCAAGCACTGCTTAGCAGTAATACATGCAAACTCCTGGTGGCAGGACAAAAAGTCTTTAAAATAGTTTGGACTTTTTAAATTGGTCCACCAGTTTGATTAAAGGTCATATTGTTCACTGCATGTCATCCTTTATTCACCTATCCTACCAAAAATTCAAAAATATCGTTGAAATCTAGATATTGAAATTCATACACACCCTAACCACACCAAATAGAAGTAATAAACATGTTCGAATATTAAAATTTGGATTCATCATTTGCTATCACGTAAACAAAACACAAGCAATTTGTTCTAGGGGTGTGTACTTCTTTAAAAGTACAAGAATCTATGGTATTTCTATATGGGTAGAGGATATTCATAGGCCTTTGTAGTTAAAGGTGTTTAGGGCTTGCTCACGGTGATGAAAGACCTTGCCTAGTGATGTTTTATGGTGGTATGAGAGGGTCGGCTCATGTAACACCTCAATTTAGGTTATTTTATTATTTATGAATTTGTGTATTTAATTAATTATCTAGTTGTGTTAATTAAATAAATATGGATGATAGGGAGGGTGTGTGACCTTATGGTAGGAGTTTAGAGAGTAATTAGAGGAAGATAGAATAAGTTAGAATTATTATATTAAATTAAAATAATAAGATAAAAGAAAATTAGGAGTTTATAGAGATATTGAGGACAATGTGGGAATTAGAGGAAAATGTTGTTAGACGATGATAACTTATCTACAAGAGGGTTGGGGTGAATAGATCCCAAGTTAAGAACTTTTTGAAAAATTATTTTTTAAAACTTTGGCAAGCGGAAACGATCCAAAACAACTATCGTCTAATCCGAATCGTTATCGAAAAGCTTAGATATGCGTCAAACCAATATTATATGAAATGATAACGATAGTCAAATGAGACAATATATTTCACAAATAACACATTTGAATTTATACATAATAGCAACTAGTTTCCAATGAATTATAAAACAACAAACACTAAGAAGTAAATTATCAAACACTTGGTGTGCAATAGATTTTTCAGATTTTTCTTTTGACTTTGTTTATATGAAAATTAATTACAATTCTAATAAGAATTATAATCTAATCAACAAAGCAATTTCAAGTTTAATAATGAAGGATTTTTTATACATATCAATGCACAATCAATAAATTTAACAATTTGCGATTAAACGTAAAATAGAGAATTAAAGAGATAGAGAGAGAAAGAGAGAAAGAGAGATAACACAAGGATTTATTTAGGAAGTTCGCAAATCGTCCTTGTTATGGCTACGTATGCCCCCAATTCCATTTACAATTGAGATGATCAATCTTACTTTGCAAATATTCGTTTGCAAGAGAAATATAGCAATCCAACCCTACAACCATATGTTAAATGTTGATCTTAACACTTTATCTTCCCTTGATTTGATCTTGATCAAGTCACCCAACAATACCAATTTGATCCACCGTCTCGCAATACTCCTTTGGAAGAAACCACCGCTCTTCAAAGCATTTACTCGGCTGAATCCAATTTGGGAATTATTGCCACCCAAGATTTCTAATAGATTCACCGTCTCACACTACTCCTTTACAAGAAACCTCATTCTTCAAAGCTTTCACTCGACCGAATTGCAAAATCTTGTCAAAACCTCTAAATCAACACTTTGATCTTGTTGGAAAACTGTCACAGTTTTTCCTGATAAACACTCCCAAAGATTCTCAACCCAATTTACAATTCAACAACCTAAATTGGACGTTATCAACTCTAAATCTAAATGGAACCCAAACGAAAAATTATTATGTGTAATTTGTTTGTTGTGTGCACAGACTATGAGAGGTTAAAGATGAATATCAATACTTTGTATGTTTATGGTTTCATCACATTCAAATGATGCATGTATGAAGTATTTATATGTGTGCAAGTTGGAGGAAAAAAGAAAACCTAAAATATTTGAAAAGAATGAAATTTTTCAATAAATTCGCATGTGTCGACACATATAAGTCATGTGTCAACTCATGTTAATGCATGCATCAACCTATTCAATGTCATGTGTCGACACATAACAATAGAAGCTACATGCTTTAAAACTGGGCAGCACGCGTCGACTCATTCAGTGTATGTGTCGACACATAGATGAAATTTTATACTATGTGTCAACCTAAAAAGGTTGATGTTTCGAAACATAGAAACAAAGACTACAAGCTTTAAAACACAAGCACGCGTGTCGATTCATAACATGTATATGTCGACATATAGACTTATTTTTCAGAAAAATTCTTATTTTTTATGCATGCAAAACTTTTCAAAATGCATTTTAAGTACCATAATGCAAATACGCACATGAAGATTCAGAGATATCGTCCAATATATAGAAATGCTAAAGTTATTCTAGTTTTGACATCATACAAAACATCTACCGGGAAAGTGCACTCATATACTCCCCATTTTTTATGATGGGAAAACTTATGATGATGCATTGTGTGTCTCATGAAGGCTCCCCTTGAATGTGTGCATCCCAACTTCGTCTCGCATATGCTTCTCCCCCTTTAACAACATCAAAAAGAGACAAAGCAATCTATGATAAATATCACACAAATACAAAAAATAACACACTGAGGCGTTTGCAAAGAAAGAATATGCACTCACATATCACACATATACATGAAATGACGTAGAACTGAAATGCTTAAGCATAAATAAAAGGCAATACAAATCATCATAATAATAAATACAAGGGAATGAAAGATCATGAATTCAATGCAGTCACTAACTCTTGAGTCACTTCAAAAACATCGCGTTTACGCAACTCTTCATAATGTTGCTCCCGATGTTGTACACACATGTGCCTAGCTTAGTGAAAAACACATCACCACTAAAACCAAAAACAAAGATGCTCCTATAAAATGTGACACGACTTGATCGAGAATTTAATTTTCACTATAACTTGCGGTATACAAAGTAGTTACCTCAATTGATCTTAATCTTGTGGAGGAGGATGTAGACAAGGAGGACCTCAACTTGGTCGACTCTTGAATACCCACCATTCTTTGGGCACAACACATGAGAAACAAGCTAATGCAAGATACAGGGAACTTGTTTCAAGTGACCGATGTCAAGGCATCGTAATTGTCATCAGAACGAAGAGCCTTTAGCAATTCACTCATATGAAGTCTCCAACAAAAATCTTCATGAAAGTTGGTATCCATTACCTTCGTCTCAACATCATCACTAACAATGGTAATACCAAACAATAACTTCCATATATCAGAAGTGAAAGAGTAAACCTTACCTCCCATTCTGAATTTGAACTCAGCCCATCAAGGTTTATGCATCCCGAAGTAGAATAATCTAATGAGATCATCATTGTAATCTTGTGAAAGCTACAGAAAGTAGTTAATCTTTTGATGCTCGACAAGACTAACAATGTTAGGAGTGTTCAATGTTTCAACAACCTTGGGGCTGTACACATGCTGCTTCACCACAAGCCTATGTTTACATTTTTCTTTAAAGTCCTTAAGAACCTCATGATCAATCAAGGAAAAAGTAGTTTCTGGAACATTTGAGGAGTCACATGCCTTGCCTTTACCCTTGGCATCACTTTTGTTTCTTGAAATATTGGGTGCCATGGTTAATTTGACAAACTGAGCTTGCACAAAAGGTGTTTAACTAAATGTGTGTGTTGTACCCCAAAATTTTTCCTCTCACTTATCAAGAATTTTCTCACAAGATCTCCTTGGGCTCAAGACTGCACTAGGGTTTGATCAGCTCAAGACACCTCCTTATGCACTGATGATCAAAATTAGGGTTTGAGTTTGCACAAGGATTTTTGAACTATCAATGCTTCATATGACTTTCATGGACCATTATGAACCCCCAAGATTATTCATGTCAAGTTTCAAGCCTTGGATCACAC